TGTCTTCCAATTCAAGGTTACTCTACACAACTTTGTAACACACATCCTGTGAACAGTTGATGAAAAGACCTTCACTTACAGCAACTACATGGAGATTGTTAAGTAATGTTTTTTAAACACTCAGAATTGTAGCAGTGGGTCCAGACAACAATTTGGCACAAATTAGCAATTACACACAAAGCATATGTGGTGGGAGACTGAAAGGTAACACTGTTTTTGATCTTGTTACCGGACATCCAAATGAGAAGTATTCATTTTCCAAGATCAATCATTTTGAGCACAAATTTCACTGAAGCCATATATTCCAAAACTTACAAAACATAGCGTAGATGAAACGGGTATGCTGGAAGAATGCAACAAATGGATGGATTACGTTTTTACATTTTAATACACATGGAAATTAATTGAAAGAAGAGCTCCAAATATGTGGATAAGAATAAAATTAAAACAATGCAAATAATGGGGAATGTGACAACCAGGTTCAGAAGATTTGGATTGTTTAGGAAATTAGGCCAATACACTGCAAGTGCAGTTTCTAGATTGGTGGTTTTCAGACTATGTAGGTGACTCCCTGAAAACATTAGCAAGTTCCTTTTTCAACAGGGGTGTTGAAACTTAGCGCTTAATATCAGGCAAAGTGGAATGTTCATCTGATCCATTGATTCTCTCATGAATCTTGTTGCAAAATGGGGGCTTTGCTTATTGTTCAGTGTCAGTAAAGCTTTTGACAATGTTTCACGTGGTAGACTGGTAAGTAAAGTTAGATCACCTGGTTTTCAGGGACAGCTTGTCAATTGGATACAAAACTGGTTTGACAGTAGGAGACAGAGGGTGCTTGTGCAGAGCTGTTTATCAGACTGGGGGCCTGTGATCAGCAGCATTCCACAGAGATCTGTGCTGTGTCCACTGTTGTTTGTCATTTATATAAATGATTTGGATGAGAATATAAGAAGCATGGTTAGTAAGTTTGCAGATGACACCAAAATTGGTGGTTTGTGGACACTTAAGAAGGTTATCTAAGGTTAGAAAGTGATCTTGATCAACTGGGTTAATGGGCTGAGGAGTGGCAGATGGAGTTCAATTTGGATAAATCCAAGGTATTGCATTTTGGTAAGATGAACAAGAACAGAACTTATGTAGTTAATGGTAGGACCCTGGGTAGTACTGGTGAACTAAGAGACATGGGAATTCTGATACATAGTTCTTTGAAAGTTGTGTCACACATAGACAGGGTGGTTAAGAAGGCATTTAGCACTCTTTCTTTCACTACTCAGACCACTGAGTATAGGAATTGGGATTTCATATTGCAACTGTACAGGATGCTGGTGTAGCCACTTTTGCAATACTATGTAAAATTCTGGTTGCTCTGCTATAGGACAGATGTTACTAAATTGGAGAGGATGCAGAAAATATTTAGAAGGATGTTGATGAGACTGGAGGATTTGAGTCATAAAGAGAGGCAGGCTAGGTTGGGACTTTTTCCACTAGAGAATAGACGGTTGAGGCTTATGAGAGGTTTATGAAATCACGAGGAGCATAGATGAGTAAATAGCAAAGGTCTTTTCCCTAGGGCTGGGGAATTCAAAACTAGAGGGCATATTCTTAAGTTGAGAGGAAAGAGATTTAAAAGGGACATGAGGGGCACTTTTTCACACAGAGGGTGGTTCATATGTGGAATGAACTGCCAGACGAAGTGGTAGATGCAGGTACAACATGTAAAAGACATTTGGATGGGTAGATGAATAGGAAAGGTTTAGAGGGATATGGGCCAAATGCAGGCAAATGGAACTGGTTTAGTTTGGGAAACTTTGTTGACATGGATGAGTTAGACCTAAAGGTCTGTTTCTGTACTGTATGACTCTATGACCCCCATGTGTCACAGACTGCCCAGCTCAGCTGGCTATTGGTAGAGGAAGGTTTAAAGGCAGAGATCTCTTCCATATTAAAGCCTCAAAATTCGGTAAAAAAGTGCTGTTACTTTAAGGCCAGATCCTCAAAACAGTCAGATTCTTAATTAGAAATATCTTTTAACAGTTTAAATGCTCTCCAGCCTTCAGCAACTTTCAATGCAAGGGAAAAATTGGCATCCTTTGCATTTAATCTTGCCTTCAGAAGAAATATGCTGAAGGAAGAAAACCAGGCGAACAAAAAGTGTTTCTTCTCACTTTTCCTGTCTCTGCAAACCTATGTACTTTCATTACGTTCTTTGTTGAAGTTGGTGATGTTTTTGTGGTACTAATACTTCTGTCCCTCCTAACCACACAATGGAAGCATTACTGACATTTCCCGGAAAATATGTAAAATTTAGCAATTTAACTTGTACACTGATCAGAGGTAACACAGTTACTCAAAAAAACTTTAGTCAATTACAGAAACTCTATTGTAATTTGTAAAAGATTAAACTAACAAAATCCAATTAAATGCTTGAGATGTTGAAAGCCTGATTTTAACTTGTAGTATACTTGATCAACCCTGTCAGCCACTGCTTCCGTTGCATGATTAATCAAATAGCAGTTCATGCTGTCCAGAACAAATAAAATATATCCAATTAGGTCATAGTATGAGGTCTGTAAAACTGCGCCATACATTCTATAGACATTTCATACACTTTTTATGCCCATTTAAATTTTTATTTTTGATAGATAATAACTTGCTTTTCTTTAAATTTTTCTGGAAGCACTGTCGTTCACCACCATCTAGTTGGATATTTGACCCTTTGCTGCAAGGTCACGGCTGATCTTGCACCTCAACTCCACATTCTCACACTATCCCCCAAGGCCTTGATTCACTTTATGACAAGAAGATCAATGGTTTCTGTCTGGAATTTTTCAATGACAGAGAAAATCCACTGTTCCCTGGATAAAAATCCCTAACTTTCTGATAAAGAGATTTCTCAGCTCATTCCTAACTGGCTGACCCCATATCCTGAGACAGTCACCTTAGTTCTAGATTCTTCAAACAGGGGAAACAGCTTTCCAGCCTTTATTCTTTCAAGACCCCTAAGAATTTTAGACATTTTCATTTTAGACATGTTAATTATAATCGTATAATAATAGCTCATCAATTGTATGTACAGTTTGCAGACCCACAGCAGACTTACAATATTGTGTACAGACAGCACATGGAGTCCTTAACGGTCAACTCTCAATGGCAAGGTAAATGTACAATGTTCTCATTTTTCAATACTCTAGAGAATATAGACCAATATACTTCATTCTATTACCCATTGAAATATCTAACCTTCACATCTGAGCTTCGAAAGGATGTGCTGTGGAAAATGGAAACCTGGAACAACTGTTCAGTCTGTGCTTCCAGGTGGGTAGATATGTTCAAATCTCACCATAGTCTCGCCTCTGCCTGGCTCTTTTACCTCCTCCAGCCTCATGATCCCCTGTGACCTCTGAGTTCCTCCTCCAACTCCGGTCTCTCATGCATCATTGATTTCCTTTATTCCATCTGTAATATTTGTGCCTTCAGCTTCCTAGGCCTAGAACTGTTGACAACACCTTGCATTGTTTAGCTAATGATTAGGAATAACCCGATACAGCAGTAATTGGTCAAATTGAATTTCCCCTAATTTTTTAGATACGGTGGAACATCTTAGTTAAGAGTGCAGGTAATTCTGGATTACAGATCTTTTGGAATACAATCAGGAGGTTTTTGATGCCTGAGCTTATATACAGTACAGTCAACTGATTTTTATGTGATGAAGAATGAATCAAATTCTCTGAAGACTGGAATCTGCAATAGTGATACTTTAAGAGAAGACTGGGGAGCATCATCCATTTGGCACTTCATGCGAATTTGATGCGAAGGCTTCAGTCTTGGCATTTGTAATCATGTGTTGTACTCTGCCATGATTGAGGAGGGGGATGTTCATGAGAACACCTTATCCCATTAGTTGCTTAACTGTCCACTAGCATTTCTGCTTGGATATGGTAGGGTTGCAGAATATGTGCCCTAACTGTTGCTTGTTGGATAGCTTAACACTGCCTAGATTTGTTACTTTTATTATTTAGCACCAACATAATCCTGTGTTACAGTTTCACCAGGTTGGCAGCTCATTTTCAGGCATCCAATTCTACTCATAAATCAATCTTTCCCATAGGACCAGGATTAATAATCTGTGTTGATGATGATAGAGGAGTGAAGGATTGATTATAGATTGTCATGATATATAACACTGCTGCTGATAGCTCAGAGCATCTCATGAATAGATTGTTTTGACCGTCAGATTTGTACTAAATATATACTTTAAACTTTACATGTGCAACACAGGATCATGGTAAGAGGCTTCATGATAGTGCTTGTGGGGTGATTTTTCAAAGCACAGAGTTTGGAACTTGATTCCTGGGTCTCCACTCTGCAACTCAGGGTATCACTTCTATCCGCCTCCCACTCTCTCCCTATTTATTTCAGAATCCCCTTCCCCTCCCCCTTTTCTGATGAAGGGTCTAGGCCCGAAACGTCAGCCTTTCTGCTCCTGTGATGCTGTTTGGCCTGCTGTGTTCATCCAGCCCTGCACCTTGTTGTATCACTCTAGTGATGCTGTTTTACCTTTAGATACCCTAATTGACGAGGAAGAAATCCTGGTGATGAGAGTTAGCAGAAGGCAGGAGCTGCTAGCCTGGTGCTAACAGCCATGTTGGGGCTGCCAAAGCCTTACCAAAGACAATAGGCAGCTCATAAAGAATGTCACCCTGTGCAGGCGTGGGAGTTCCTTTCAGAATTGGGTTAAGTAATAAATCTCAGGCAGAATAGGGAGTGTTTTAACCATACAGCACAAAGTGCTATTCTTGTAAAAGCAGCTCACTGATGCTGGGTCCCTGAAATGGAAAATGTTTCATTCCATATGGCTTCTAGTTAGAGGAACAAAATAATCCATCTCTAATGTACAAATGTAAACACAAATAATCCATCTCTCATGTACAAATGTAAACACATTTGCACCACTGCCCTCAGAAACATACTTCTCTCTGCAAACCATTTTAAGCACTAACCACTGGTTCAATGATGAAAATATCATCAGACAACAGCATTGTGTCATCCTCCACCAACTGACGACGATTCTGGAAGGTACGGGCAAGGAGAGGCATCTGTTCACGTAGAGTGGGATCTTCAGTGCAGTCCTTCAAAAACTGGTTAGTTTCCTGTTCTTCCTCAGTCATCAAGTCTGAAACAAATCTGAACGAAGACATACAGATCAGCTATGAACTCACCATCATGTCAACACAAACAACAACCACCATTATCTATACATTCACTCTCAGGAAGATTGATGAAAATAAAAGCACCTGAGTGGAAATTCTCACACACCCAAAAAAATGACCTGCATTCTATTTTTTATGGTAACTAACTTGAGCATTTGTGTATTTATTTCAGGTTTCTTAGAATTGATTTTTTTAAAAGGTGTTTGCCTCCCAACCACCCTGAATGGTAGTGAGTGCTAAGCATGGGAATTCACGCCAGGACCATCCCATGCCTAGAGCTGGGAACGGGTTCAAAAGCACTTAAGGTCTATTGTCAGATGTGGAACCAGAATTTTCTGCTCAGACTCTGGGCCTCCCGAGACATCGTGGTCTAAGCCTGTTGCCTGAAACATCGGAACATGAGGGATTAAGAGCAGGAATGGGCCAGTTAGTTCTTTGAGTCTTCTCTAGGGGTGGGTAGCATCTTCCAATGGCAAGCTGTGGGATCAGTGCTTCAGATAGGCTTTGACGCTCTCCCCACCTGCCTCATAACAGGTGCTGAAAACTTCAAGTACCAATATAAAATGCTGGAAACATTGAGCAGGTCTTACAGCTTCTGACAGAGGGTCAGTGACCTGAAACATTAACAATTTATCTCTCCACAGATGCCAGCAGACACGCTGAGTGCTTCCAGATATACAGACATATACATATATAGACAGATACACATAAATATGTTTATCTATTAAAATGACATTTCGTCTAAGAAGGGATTTGCTGAGTCACCCATCATCATCAGGAATGTCCTGGATCTTACTTTCTAACATATGTGTGGAGACCCACTAAGTCTCTCAAGTTTCATTAAGTTTAATTAAACAGCTGAGTTTCAAAATTAAAGCAGGACAATAACAGCTGGTATGTGACACAAATAAACTGCATGATAATGAGCAAATAGTTCTAGTCCTTTTGATCAGTTCAGTGGTTTAAAAACAAAATTATGGGTGGAATCTTACAGGGGCCTGAACAACATGGGCTGTGGTGAAAAGTGTGGCAGAATATTTGAGAAGTCCAGTAAGGCTTTTCAGGAACGACTCACTACATCTTTTAGTTAACTTTTAACTGGATGTCAAGGTGAGATTCTCCCTAGGCAGGAGAATTATTGCTTGTTAATGATTTTATTAACTGCACACACTTCGCCTCCTATATTACCAAATGGCGTGAGCAAACCAGATGCTGAGGATTCTCAACATGGTAGTCGGAGCGGTTACCTGGTAACTTCAGCTCACTATGAAGAGGAGTTTTCATGTTCCTCACCATGCAACAGCATCTCAGGGCACAATCCATGAGGGCTAGTTGCATGCACTCCTTGTCCATGGTCCCAAGGGGACAGCTGTCAGATCTGGTGGTGGAGGTGTATCGGATCCTGAGGGTATATTGGGGGCTGTCAAGTCCCAGGGAAAGAGAAGCATGTTGGGGTTGGGTCCAGGTCTGAGGGGTGTAAGGGGTCTTGAGGAGGTGTACTTTGGGACATGTCAGTTCAATAAGGGCAATCAGTTTAATAGTTACTCACAAGATAGACTAGCTTTTTAATAACCTACTTCTTCCTGAGTAACTATTTACTTAACTTCAAAGGAACCCTCTGAATTCTTGATTCAAATGGATATTTTTGGAATCATTTCCTGGGTAATTCCCTTGGAGACTGTTATGTCAGGGATTCCCAATGTACGTCTATGCTGCAGAAACAATTATCTGGCCATTGGAAAACCTGGGCCAATTGTTCTGACAGCACTATCGACAGGAGCAGTAAGTTGCAAAGAGACAAGAATATATTAAGTAAGTGCATAAATGTTTGGCATTTGAAATCCAGTGTGAGATCATTTATTGCTTACCTAAGAGAGATCAAAGTATTCTCAAAATGGTGAGAAACTAGGAACTGCAGACGAGCTGGGAAGTTGAGAGGCCTGAGACACAAATCTCTAAAAGCTAGTGTGCAGGAAATGTGATTAAAAAGGCTAACAGAATGCTGGCATTTGACTCTATGACAAAGAGTTCTGACTCGGTCCAGTCTGGACTACTGCATTCACCTCAGTTCTTAACACTACCTCTGAAAGAAGGAGGTGCAGCGCAAATTCACCAGACTCATACTGTGCTTAAGAGTTCCCATGAATATAGAAAATTCAGAGATGATCTATTTGAATTATTTAAGGTGGTCATATGACTTGATAGCAGAAGATAAGAGATAAATGATCCTCTTAAAAGTAGAACTAGGTTGTTCAGGAGTTATGTTAAAAAGCATTTCTTCACTCAAAACTGCTGTGGAATTCCGGACCCTTTTGCCCACCATCTAAAAAGATTGTGAAGTCAACTGAAAAATTTTAGAATTGACACCGACAAATTTACGTTTTAAAAAAGGACGAAGGATTCTGGAACTAAGGTGGGTTGATGAAGTTATGTTAGGTTAAGGTCAATCATGATCTAACTGAATGACAGGATGGGCCTGAGCTGAATGACCTATCCCAGTTCTTATGCATATTGTTGAATCCTCACTAGTTACATGTCATAGATGACATGTTTATGCCTTAGCCACCAGAACCATTCAGGATTATTTCAGGCAACAGTATAATATATTGACTTCAACTAGATTGATAATCAACAGTCATCCAACACTGGCAGCACACTCATAACAGCTATAGTTCATATTCTACTATCAGGCAATGTCAAAACAACCCCATTGTGTTTCTGTCAGTATTTTGTAAACGGCATCTTAAAGCCATTAATGCCATTTTAAAACAGATTAATTTTATTAGTTAATTAATGGAGCAAGACAATTATGTTTTAAACTGACTCCTTTAAGGTAAAATTGAGGATTTGAGGTCCCAAATAAAAATTATCCAGAGACAAGCCCCTGAACCTCACACTAAATCTTAAATCTAAAGTGGAAAAGAGGGAAGGCTGAAAGGGCAGTGAAAGAGGACAGAGAGATGAACCAAGTTGGAGGTTGAAATCAACAACTTTCAGAAGTCGCTGAGTGAAGATGCTAAGAGTGGAAAAATTGGTGACAATATTTTTAACAGCCATACAAATAGAACTCTGTCTCAAAAGAGGCTCAATTCACTTCAGGAGGGATAGAATTAAAAGACAGAGAAGTTATATTACTTATATATAGACCTTGATAAGACCACCCTTGGAGTATAATGAAAATCATTGGAGAAGGTTTAAAAAATATACTAGAATTATACCAGAATTGAAACGTTTACCCAAGAGGACTGGACAACATTTCCTCTGGCAAAGGGAAGATTGAGGTGTGGCTGGATAAAGGCCTCTAAATAATACAGGGTTTCATGGCGTACATGTAGACAAAACATTTCCTCTGGAGGGGTAGGGCAGAACAAAGGCCAGGTTCAAATCGTCCAGTGGTATCAATTCTGCCCAAAATATTTTCACATCACAGCACTACTATACGTGTGTTCAAGGACATTCCAGTTGCAGCCAACACATAAATGAGCAGAAACAAAAACTGAAATTGCTGAGAAGCTCAACAGGTCTGGCAGTATCTACGGAGAGAAAGCAGAAGTAACTTTTCTCCTCAGTAGCAAGGAAAAAGTGGTGTATATGCTAAAGACAGGTGGTGAGGGAACAAGTAAGTGATTTGGTAGAGATGGGACCAAAGAGAGACAAAGACAGTTAGGCAGACAAACAGATGGATACTGGGAAGCCAAGGAGAAAGAAAAGCTGATAATGGGACCCTAAATAGGTGGAAATGAGTTGCCTGTACTGAAAGCAACTCATGTCATGACAGGACAAGGGTGTGGGGGTGGGTAAAAAACATGGAAGGAAGGAATCATGCTCTCAAGTCAATAACTCAATGTTGAGTCCTAGAGACTGCGGTGTCCCCAAGCAGAAAATGAGATCCTGTTCTTCCAGTTTCTTCTAAGCCTTGCGGGGGCACTGTCTGCCTGTCTTTCTCTCCCTATGGGCTCCCTGCCCACTTATTCGCTTATTCCTATCCCCCAACTCCAGTCCCTGTCTTCAGCATATATACTATCCTTTCCTAGCCACTAACAGTGTGAAGAAGGGGGTCACTGGACCCGAAATGTTAACTCTGCTAGTGAAGCAGAGACAGGACAGCACCTGCCCCCTTTAATGGCGGTAATTTCCATATTCTGGTAAATATTAAAGGTCCAGTCTTTTAATGAATGAGTGTTGGTTGATGAATGGATTAGTGAATTAGTGATCAGTGACAGGATGGGTAGATGAATGAAGTGGGTATTCAGGTAGATGAATGAGAGAGATGGTGGGTGACTGGCTACAAATACTAAGTAATATTGTCATTCTTCTCTGAATCAGAAATGACCCAAAATATAACATTATCCACCATCCAAAACTGCACTTATCTAAATAATATTCAAATACAGTTTTCCCAAAAAAAAACATGATTATAATCAAGTGTATCTTAGAAATAACCCTGTGCTTAATTAGCTATGCTTAATTAGGAGTGCTTCACTACTATTCTATAGTGTGATTTTCTTGGGTTGCTCTTAATGATAGCAATAAAATCACTGTACAGCACCACATCGAGCACATGTTTAACGTCCCCTTTGTTCTGTTTTAAGCAAACACATTTACATCTATTTTTATCTGCACCATTTTAACAAATATTCAGCATAGGACAGGGATTTATTCAAACAAGTTAATTACTGTTAAAACTTCCACGCGATGGAAATCAAATGCAATGAAATTCAAGGAAATTGTTCTACCCAACAAGAACACTTCAATGAGATGAAAAGAACTGAAAAACCCAGAAAGTTAAAATAGTGTTTAGAACTGAAACTGTAATGTACACACATTTCAAATTATGCCTCTTTTTTAAAAAAAGAACTGCATTAAATAAATCACCAGGAGCAGCATCACATAATAATTAGAACATTTTTCAGGAAAAACATCTAGTATTTGAGGATTGGGATGAAATGATTTGGTCGCAGCAATTAGTGAGCA